CTTTTTCACGCCATGGAAAATAGCTGTGTTCATGTTTCTAGCTTTGGCTCATTCAAGCTTCTTTACATTGCTATTTCTTGTTGCAGAAGAGCCATATTTCTTGTCTTTAGCTGCCTATACTTGCCTGGGAGCCTATATAATTCTTATCTTCTTTCTCTTCACTCTAGGCTCTGTAGAGCAGGCTTACAAGTTCTTGGCTGGGAGAGGTGCTAAGGCAGGTACTGGCAACAAGAACAGCAGAACAGCAATGAAAGCAGTTTTGGCAGTCATGCTGACTGTTGTGCTGACTGTTGTCGGGCTGTTAAATGCTTCCCGGCCTCCCACTGTGAATTCAGTGGAGGTTCCACTTCACAAGCTGCCCTCAACAATGAATAATCTGAAAGTAGTGTTGCTTTCAGATATCCATCTGGGTCCTACAGTTGGGAAGACCAAGCTTGCCATGATTGTAAGAATGGTTAAGGCTTTGAAACCAGATATCACCGTGATTGTTGGGGACCTGACTGACTCTGAGGCAGAGATCATACGACCTGCTGTTGAGCCTCTTGGAGAACTTAACTCCCCTTTGGGGACTTACTTTGTCACAGGAAACCATGAGTACTACACATCAGATGTTAGCAACTGGTTTGAGCTGTTAAAATCATTCAACATTCGGCCACTGCATAATGAGAATGTGAAGATTGTTTCACCGAAGAGCACTGATGACTGGTTCTGCCTGGCTGGCGTTGATGATATTGAAGCAGATGTACTGCGCTACTCGGGGCATGGCATGGATTTAAAAAAAGCTCTCAGAGATTGTAGCAGTGAGCATGCAATAGTGCTGTTAGCTCATCAGCCGATTGCTGCAAAGTGGGCCCTTCAGGAGAGACCAGACATAAATTTAATTCTCTCTGGCCATACTCACGGAGGGCAGATGTTCCCACTAAATGCTGGGGCTTATTTTCTGAATCCCTTCTTTGTTGGCTTGTACAAAGTTGGGCAGAACACCTTTGTCTACGTCAGTCCGGGGACTATGTACTTTGGAATACCCATGAGGCTGGGCAGCAGAGCTGAAATAACAGAGATAATTCTATGTTCTCCTTGAGGAGTTTTCCATTTGACAGACTTCTGCCATCCTTTTTGGTCAGTATATTGGCTCTTCTGCTCTGAAAGCAAATCCTTTTTCAGGGAAGCCAGAGAAGATGTATTAGGGTGGACTTCAGCAGGTTCTGTTAAGTTTGAGCAGAACACACTAACTGTATCTTGGGCCTATGAAACAAATCGGGGGCATGTTAAAATACTGAAGAAATTAATTCTTTGAGTTCATTATTATTGAGGTTCTACATTTAAAGATAACACTGATGTCATGGAGATAATGTGTGTCCTGTGCATGTTTAGTAATATCTGTGTCCTGTGGCTGGTTCATGCTCCACTGTTTATTATCCATCAGGCAGTTGCCTTATCTAATCTAAGACAGGTGAAGTTCTGATCTCTTGCAGTGAAATCACTCATGCATGTTTTGCAGAAGGGACTACAGAGTGTTCACTGAGTACGTAAACTCTAGAAGCCTTATGCTAGAAATGTTACAGGAAGGGAATAATTTTGGTTTTTCTATTGAGGCTGGATATCTTTATCCTGCTGTCTGTCTGCAGCATGCACTAGGGCTTCCAGTCTGAGTTGCTTACCAGTACAGTGAGGTGCCAGGCATCAGTTCCCGAAATTCAATTTTTTCCAGTTAAAAAGCTGGGGAGACTGATATCAAAGGGTGAAAGTAGCTGTCTTTCTGCAGGTGTTTTCCCCAGAATAACTGGGCATCTCATAATTACTTTCTGCAAATAGCTCTAATAAAAGCAAATGAGAAAGAAAACTTGTAATTAACATAACTTCTTGTTGCTGTCTGAGCATACAGTACCTGCTGATGTGAAGCACAAAATCCAAAGCTGAAATACTCAGTCTCTTTCATCTTCATTCTGTATTTTTCTGTTTATGCTTAATTTCTGTGATTTTTCTCTTACAAGAATAAGAAGATGCTATTTGAAAACAATGCAGATAGGTTAATGCTTGAATTTTGTTTAAGGTTTTAATATTTCAAGTAAACAGTGTCCTTTTTAAGACGACTAAACTCTGCAGCAGGTGACTTTCCTTAATAGCATTTGCACATCAATGTCCTGGTTGTCTGATAGGCACATAGCAGAATAACTGCTACAGGATAATGAGGTATGGAGAATTTCTCTCTGTCTTTCCTAGAAGGGCTTAACACAAAGTAGTATCATTCTGGGAAATTTGAGAGATCAGAAAATATTAATAAAAACATTCTTGCTTCTATATCTTTGTGTTCATCTAAGAAAGCCAGGATGTAAATTAATGTGCGTATATTGCCCAGGCTGATGAAAGAGTTTACTTCTGCGCATCTTCCCCTCTCCTCCCCTTCCACCTCAGTGTTGCTGTATGAAACACCACGAACAATACAAATCTGGGAATCCTGCCTCTGAGGTCCCCAGCTGTAGCCACTGGGTCTCCCTTGCACTGCCTTTCTGCCCACCCGTACCTGGGTTCCTCTCAGGCAGACCTGTGTAGCATGGGGCAAAAGAGATCAGTGCTTACCCAGGAGGCTGAGGATGGCAAGACTAGAACTGCGGTGTTAGTCTTTTCCTGCCTTCCTGTGCGATACTGAACCAGACATACTTCCTCTGTTTTATTCTTCAGCTCCTGTTCTCGTTTTGCAGGAGGTGTGTGGGGCTGTATTTGAAGAGTACCATAGGCTTTGAAAAGTTGAGTTTTTCTGTAAGTGAAGTTTCACTTCATCTACTCCCTTCAGCCCCCCCCCGGGCAGTTTCTAACTTCTAAGCTGTTTTTGTATCCTATTCTTCTGTACAAACATCTTGCATTTTTACTCACAGGCATATTGAGAAATGCTGTGAACGTGTCATGTGCGCTGGAAGGTTGGTGGAAAAGCTGGAGAAATCAGTCTGCTTTTAGAAAACTGAACACCTGACCAGCCAGGCTCTCTACTTGCTGGGCTAGATAAGTCCCAGCACCTATAACTTTGTAAACTATTTTTATGCTTGTGCAATAATATCTGCTTAAGTATCCTAAAGTTTCCATGTGTATTTAACACCACTCACTGCCTGCATAGGGTCCTTCTGAGATTCTTTCCCATCTGTGGCGTAGTGTCAAATGGTCTTATGTAGAGAGAATCTTGATAGCCTTGATACTCTCTGTTTACTTATCAACATGCCTTCAGTTAAAAGCTGTGTTCTGGGTTTAGTGGTGCAGGGTATTCCCTCTAGGCCAGTGGTCCAGAAGGATAGCTTTTCATTTGTTACACTGAGGGTTATTACTGTGTTAAGAAGACTAATTGTGAAGCAAGTTTCCTTATCGGGAGGCTTTTGTGGGACTGGTTTTAGATGGTGTTAGTTTCCCAGTGAGTTGCTAGTAGTATTTTTTTCTTTTTTTCCCCCTACCCTTTTTATTTCTCTCCCCATTCTGTCCAAATGTGTGCAAAAACCTAGCTGAAGTGGTCCTTCCGTCCCAGGGGTGCATAGATGACTTCTTTATTAATTTGTACATGCCCTGCTTCGAAGATCTTTGTGTATCCTTTTAGGAACAGATACTATCCTTTTAGGAGTGGTCATATTAAAATTTCATAAATTTATTGAGATCTCCCCATGTGATTTAATTCTTGCTGGTTTTTTTTTCTTTAACTCCCTCCCTCTGAAAGCTTGTTTGCTTGATGATGAGTTATCACTTAAAATGTTTTCTTTCTGTGCCAAAACACTTCAAAGACTTTTCTTATTTTGCATTTGTTTTTTTTTTAAAGTATGAATGGAAAGTATCCTTTCAACTTTCTTTTTGATAGTAAGAGGAATTAACCTTTTCTGAAATCATTCAAGACAGCAATCCCTAATTGTCCTTCAAGGCTTTTTCTATACTTTTTCCAATTTGACTTGAATGTGCCTGATGTAGACCTGTGTTCAGTATTCCAGATGAAAAAAAATTGCTGTGCTGCTTATTTTGTAATTTTTTAAATTTTTTTTGGTAAATTTTTTTGGTGTGTATGGAATGTGTTTGATCTGGAGAACTTAACTAAATGAATATATATTTCTTCCTATAAAAGGCCAGTTCACTGGGGGAGGGGGAGTTAATCACTGTCAGAATAATACCAGAACAGAATAGTATCATCACTTCGTCAAAGTTATATTTATTACATTATATAATCAGTATAGAATGGATTTGAAAATATGTAAATTGTGGTATAACAAATGCTTTAAATGTTGGGATTTAATAAAACTTTATTCGCTTATCAAGAAAGATGCCTCTAATGACCTTTTATTTTGTACCAATGTTTATTGTAGCAGTATATGCTGAATAGTTTTAACACACGAATTCTATTTACCAACAAAAAGCTACTGACAATAAATCTGACTAGTTTTGGAAAATCTTACACCCACACTGCTAAGTGAGGCATGGTGGAAAGTGGGAAAGGTAAGGCCACTATTAAATTTGCCTGATGCCTACTAGGGGGAAGAAGTGCAGGCTGAAGAGATGTGGATGTGATGCAGAGAAAAGAACCACTGCAAAGGCAGAGAAAGGATACTAAGAGATGTTTTGTGGTTTGGGTTGGGTTTTTTTTTGGGGGGGGGGAAGGAGCAGGAGAAAATGAGTGGTTTGTGATTCTCAATTTTGATACTTAAGCTTTGGAGTAGAGAAAGGGATGTTCTGTGTTTGAATGGTCTACATAAGAGATGCTAGAAATCTTCACAGGTGGAGAGGTTCATTGAGGATTTGTATCCACATTTGTTTGCTTTCCAAATAAGAAAAAACCCTGTTTTGTAAATTTGGAGAATAAGAAATTCTAGCCACTGTTAAATAGTTTTGTGTGCTGAAGCTATGAATTTTTTTTCCTATGTTGAGAGACATACGCGTTATGAAATGTTGAAAGAGCATTAACATTGCAAAAATAAATTCTTACTTGATTTAAGAAAGGATAAATTCTTTAGTTCTTCCCTTTTCCCTGCAAGTATGTTATAAGCATGTAAGATGCAATATTATACCATTGCCTCTAAGGGTCTGATTTTTCAGCTGGGCGTTAATATGATGTGGTATGAATGAACTGGCATCCTAAACAGTGTGCAGTTAGTTTTGTGTCTGTTGAATCTGCTTACCAGACTACCAGACCCACTACCCCATCTTCTAGGAAGATGCAGGGAATTAATTCCTGCTGTATATTCACAGCCGTGAGTATACAATATTGACAGTGCCAGACATAAATTCATGACAAGAACTGTTTTGTTTTCGTTGCAAACTCTGGTCTGCAAGCAATGGGTAGAGTCATGCACTGACAAGAAAAGAATGTTGAATAATTGATCATGAAGGGAATTCTGTTTAGAATGGGCAATGAATGAGGTGAATCAGAGTTAAGTACTCTGGAAGCTTCCTCATTCTCCTTTCCCCCATAATAATACTGTACCAGGAAGTGTATGAGTAAGGAAGGTGATTTACAGTTATGGTCACAGCTCTAAAAGCATGGCCTTTAAATGGTAACCAGTTCAATGATGATCACTTTCATAATTAATATCTTCTATTCATTGTTTTATTGTTTTAAGAAATTCTTGTTTCTCTGCCAGAGGTCTGTCCCCTGAGGGTGGAACTATGTAAACAGTTGATTCAATGTTCAGCATCTCAACAGTTATCCGCCATAAATGGCGCAAGTGTCTTTTCCATAGGCCTCTTGATGTGGTTAGTCTAAGTGAGGGGGTTAAAATCCTCTTTCAGAGGAAAACAACAGCAATTTATTTTGACTTTCCTTCTTTATTTCCAGGGATAATGGCCTTTTAATGTGCTTTTTTTCCCTAATGCTTCTCTTTTTTTTCTTTTTTTTTTTTTTTGTAATATTGCAGAATTGTGTTGCTGCACCTGGGTTCTGAGTTTCATTTAATCATGATCATTTTGAAGCAGTCAGTTCTGCATTAATGCTGCAACTTATCACAGTGCCCTAGAGTAAAAAACATCCAAAGAATGTGAAACATCTGCTTGGTGTTCCTTAGGGTGAAAGGTTTCCTTGAGGGATGCATACACACAGTACAATTCCATCCTAGTGCAGCATGCTCAGGATTGAAGCTGCAGGTTATAAATTAAAGATCAGCAAAATGTCACTTAGATTTGAATTGAAAGGAGAGTAAGCAGATGGTAGATACCTGTGCATCCTCTGCAGCAGTAATTTACTTGAGGTTTAACAGCCTGGAGTTACTACAACAACATAATTTCCCAGGGAGA